GACAATTCTGTAGCTGATTCACAGTCAAGAAATTCCTTCTCCCAGTAGGTTGTTCTATTAAGTTAATCTAACACACCACACATACAAATTATTTATTGGTTTAAAAGAAGTTTCAATTGCTTTAACCCTTTTATCATCCAGAGCAAACACACCAATTTAAATCGAGCCTGTGTCAATCTACTAGCATCCTTGCAAAAGTCACCCATGCATTTAACATCAATACAAAATGACACCTTACAACTGCCTGTGCTGGCAGGCAAAGTGTGAGTCAAGCAAGAATAAAGGAAAGAACAATTAAATTAAAAATCTTGTTTATTAAATGGACCGTTAACACTCTTACCAGCCCACCACCCATTCCTTACACTCTTTGGAGCTTCTCAGTAGAACTGTGTGGCTTAACAGATATTTTCAATCTTTAGTAAACAGAAACCACAAAGATGAGACACTGGTGAGTTCCACATTCTGATTTTTTTCAAGAGAAGAAACCAAAAGAATTATTGGCCTGTAAACTCTTAAGCAACAACTGTACTGAACAATACTCTGTGGGACATAGTTCCCATTTTCTTTCCTCCTCTCACCACAACTGTTTCATCACACAAAATCTCAAGAATTGCTAAAAAGATCTTTTGACTCTATCATGATTTTTTCCATAGCCTAACTCAACAGGGGAAGGACTCTCCAGAGGTGCTTTTTCCAGTTCAGAAGCCCCAGCTGTGAGCTGCCAGGAGATGGCAGATCTTTGCCTTCTTCAGAAAGTTCCAAGTGTCCAAACAGCACATGGGTTTCACTAGCCAGCATCCCTAGCCAATATCTTAATTATGTGCTCCTGCCCTATGTGAACTTGCAGTTGTTGGACATGTCCAACATGTTGGAAAGCAGAATAGTGGAAAAGAAAATAATCTACATGCCTCAAAATCTCTAAATAAAATGCTCTTCTCCGTTGTGCACAGTAGAGCTGCATCGCTGCTGGCCTGTGCCACAAACTGGGGGGATACTTATTCTATTCCTGAGGCTTGGGTTGGTACCTATTTAAGTTCTTCACAAATGCCTTGAGCAGAAAATAACATCTATTTCCTTAAAGTGCTCTCAGTGTTGCGCTTTTTTTCAGTCATATAAACTCCCAAGAGAAATCCCAAACCTACAGATGCAAAACATTTTGAATGTTTAATAGTTTGGGTTAAACACATAAGGAAAGAAATAAGCGAATTTCTTAGAAAGAAGCTACTATACATAGCTTTATTTCTCTTAATTCTAACAAGGAATTTAAACATAGTTATTGTTCTCAGTCTCAAGACATCACGCTGCTTTCATACAATACAGTACGTTCACAAGAAATATCGATTTAACAGGACACTACACTCATCACTATAGCTGTTTCTGAGCACCATCAATAGTGAAATTTATTTCTGCTTTGACAAAAAGAGGAACAACTGCTTTTAACTGTGCACTACTGGCTAATTTTTAACTAGAAGCAAAGTTACAGTAGACACTTTTATAATAAGTCACATGAGTCTATACTCTAGGAGACGTTTTGTAACCTTTATTTGTTGTTATGCTGCCAAACCTTACCCAAACACTAAAGGATAACAAGTTCCCAGAAACAATCTCTGTGTTTGCTAAAAAGTTACCTTGGGTTGCATTATTCAAGAAACATGCAGGACTGAGAAAATTTACAGGTGGAACAAAGTCCATGGTCTATTTTACTAACAACTATATTATACACAACTAAAACATAAATTCTTAAGTTAAAGCAGCAAGAGGCAATGGTGGAATTTATACTGGGATATCAATGAAATACATTCACGTTATTCTAAAGTACTGACTTTGTATGTCATGCTAATCTATGTACTTCAGACACATCAACAGTATGAGTGATTTTATAGCATCTCTGGATGCTTGAAAGTTAATTTAAATTTTAAATAATTTAATTTAAAATGAAATAATAACAAATGAATTCCCACACTATACCTAAAAGACAGTTAAAGTCATTTAACTTTGAAGAGAGAAGATTCAATGCTTTGAAAGTATCAACTTAAACTTCAGAGTCAGTCTGAACTTTCAGTATTTCCTATTAATTCAAGAGGATTTATGACTATGATTTGTGACAGACCCTCACATCATGCTAGTAGTAGTTACTAGGAAAAGAGCCCCCTAAATCAATGACAGACTGAAACGGCACTGAAATGCAGCTGAGGACTCCTACACAGCACATTTACCTGTCATAAAACTAGTAAGTGATCTTTACTGCTACATTCTACATTTAAAAATAGTGATATGTTTCACTAGCTTTAGGTCATCTCAGGAAAAACAGTATAGATTAAAAGTCATTTTAGGGTTGTGCTCAAATGCATTTTTTATTTCATGCTGCATCCCTAGTTTCAAGCATTTGTAACCATCCTGTTACACTTCTCTGTTTACCTTTCTGTATCTTGTGTTTCTTGATATCAGGCAAATAGTAGCTCCATTAAAGAAAACTAAGATATGATCTCATGATTTCAGGAAACATCCTAGTGCATGACAAGTTACAGCTAATAAAGCATTTGTGAGTTTAAGTAAAAGTAATTCTTGCTTAAGATTCTTCTGAAACAAGAACTATCTCAACATTGAGGTTTTAAGAGTCCCACATAAAATACCTTCTCTGCAATATTAAGCATCCAGAACTTACAATATTTTCAGACAAAAGCATAAAATACTTTGCATAGGCAAGAGATTCCAGCCTTCAAGGAAGCACCAATTGCAATGACCATTTTGCCTTACTACAGTGAAATGAGAGTCAAGTATAACCCATATCTGTAACAGGTTTATCATTATTTCAAGCCACAAAAATAAAACCACTCCTGACACCACCACATACAGAGCAGAACTTAGCTCTACAGCAAAATTATTTCACAGCCAAAGTATTCAAGATCTATTATAACATGTGAAACTTCAGAGAAGCTTTAATACTGCAGAAGCTCCATCAAATACCTAATGTGCAGAGATGTATTTACATATTTGTAAGATAAGCACATCAAAATACTTTTAATAGGTAAAAGTCAGGCATGTCCTTACAGAATGGGGCTTCTCAGAAATGGAACTAAAACCATGGAGAGCCTCTCACAGTACATTCACACTCCTTCTAAAAGGACAGATGAGCTGTCCTTAAAAGTACTGTCCAGATCAACTCGACAAAAGAATCACATACTTTCCTACTAAGTAGGCAGAACAAAGGCAATGTCATTAAGATTTATAACCAAGATTCTTTAGCTAATTATTAGAAATGGTACATTTGTAGAAGAGTTCTTCCATGCATGTTAAGGAATTAAGGATTATTCATGATGAACGTACACTATATTAAAAGAATCAGTGTTTCTAAAAGGAGGTGAATGAAAACCAAACTCCAAGTTACAACTTATTCCTTAGTTTTATCATGAACTTATTTTCCTAAGTTATCCCTTTTTTAAAATATCTCTTTCTATTAGAGTCTGTTAAGTAAATTTAAGGAAATCCTTAAAGAACACTATCAGCCTTCATTTAAGACTCCCAGAAGTTGATTTTTTCCCCCTAAAGCTACACTAGCTTCATTCAGTCAAGCAGGGATGTGAACACCTTTACACAAATGTAAGCGTTCAGAAAGGCACAAGCTGCACTTCAGGCTTTCTGAAACATTTTTAAAAGACTGTGGTAATGTGCATGGAGAAGGTGCATCTTAAGATATGAAGGGTATCTTTTTCATATAATCCTGACAGAATAAGCAATACAATAATACACACCCACATATAGCTCCAACTAAAAATACAGAATGATGATGCCAGCAGAAAATGGTCGGTTCTCTTGCTCTAAATGACAGTTCTAATAATTACAGGAGGTTTGAAAAGGTGGGTGGCCTAATAAAAAGAGGCCCTGAGGTGATGTTCTGACAGCCTTGGCCACACTGCCGAGTTTTCTAAACTACCTAGGAAATCGCAACAACTAGGTTTCAGCTTGCTGAAGCACCGGGGTGATGTATTCAGGCAGACCAGATGCAGCAGCAAAAAACCAGAAGTCTTACACATGCAGCTCGAACCCCCCGTCCTGGGAGAGACAAAGTTGGACCGGAACAGCACGCAGGAAAAACAGAGGAGAACGGACCCAGGTCCGCTCCCCACGGATGCTGCAGGCAGAGCACCGCCTCCGTTTATTTGTGATTTAAAAGGATTAGCACACTCACTTAAAGACGGTATTGCAAGGGAAAGCAAAGGGCAGGCTCCGTGCCCGGGACGGGGCGCGGGCTGCCGATGGGCCCAGCACTCGGCCGGCCCAGGGCAGGGGCTCCAGCTCGGGCAGCGCCGGCGGGGCTGGACCCGGGCCGGGCACCCGCACCCGGGCCGGGCTGGACCCGGACCCCCGCCCACCGCCTCCAGCCGGGCCGGCCGGTTCCTCCCGCTGCAGCGCCACCCCCCGTCGCCCGCCTAAAGCCTTAGAACGGAGCTGGGGTGGGAGGGGGGACACGCAGGACACACACACCAAACTTGCCTTCCCCCCACCCCCTCCCCAGCCCTGCCAAGAGTTTGACCGACACCCGACACCGACCCCTCCAAACTCCAGAGAAATCCTTGCCCGGGACCGCGGAAGGACGGGAGTGGGGGCGGGGGGGGGCTGGGGGCGACTTTTGTCTCTCTTTTTGCAACTGTACGCGTCTACCTGAGCCATCCCTGGGGGAGACCGCTCCCCCCCCCAGCAGGGTATGTCCCGAGGGAAGGGGAAGGAGAGGCCTCCTCTTCCTGCGCCCCCTTTTTGAAGAAAAGAGGGGCGAGGCGGAACAGTTTGGGGGTGGAGGGGTAAACGACGCACCCAGCCTCCCGACCTCCTCCCGCCCCGTCTCGTCCATGTGCGCGTCCTCTCCGCCCGCGGGAGCCTGGCCCCGCTCCCGCCCCTCCCGGCGGAGCGCGGGGGAAAGTTTGCCCAAGTCCGACAACAAAAGGGACAGCGGCGCTCGCCTCCCCGTCGGCCCGGGCCCCGCGACGCCCCGGCGAGCTTACCCCCGGCCGGGCCCGGCTCGCAGCGCAGCACCGAGGCGGCCAGGAGCCGCAGCAGCAGCAGCAGCGGGAGCGGCGGGGCCGCCGCCTCCATGTTGTGCCGCCGCAGCAGCCGCCGGAGCCCTCGGAGCTGCTCAAGCAGGATCCATGCTCGGGGCGCTGCGCTCGGCGAGGAGGGAGGCGGGGAAGGGGGGAGGCGCTGGAGCCGATCCTCCTCCTCCTCCTCCTCCCGCCGCAGCCAGGGAGGGGGCTGGGATGGAGGATCCCAGCTCGCACCGCATCCCGGGAGCAGGCGGGGGCGCACCGTTCCGGCGTGTCCCGCGCGTGGTTGCACCTGGCCGCACGGGAAGGAGGTGGGATTTCAGGGGGTTCTTCTTTACTTTTTTTTTTTTTTTTAAATCTCGTTCCTTCTGGAGCAATTACTCCAAAACCAGCGGGGGAGTTTGGAGTAGAGAGCTCGTTGCGTGTTTCTCTGGTGGATTTAGAAGTTAAGAGCGGGGACGTTCCCCCCTTTTTCTGTCTCCAGGAAAAAGGGTGGTTGTTTTCTTCCCAAATGGAAGTTCGCTTTTGCCTTTCTCCTTCCACCAAAACAAATGCTTTATAAAGTCACTCCTATGCGAAACATTAGTTTTCAAAGAAAAGTGCGTTCAACAACAATCTTTTGTTCCCTTCTCCATCCCACTCCCTCCGGTAAACATGCCACCTGTTCCTATAAACACATTACACTACGAAAGAGGGAGAAGCTCTGCCCTGTGACATGAGGTCTGAGTAGTGCTGAGGGCAGGTACGCAGGGCTGAACAGCACCCAGGTCACGCTTAAACATCCTGCATCTTTCCCAGGCCAGATGCTGCCCCTGCCTCCATCGCAGGGAAATAAACAAACAAACAAACAGGGTAAGTCAAGAATTTTCATTTGAGTCTCCATTTCCCCTTGTCCTGGCACGAATTTTACAATAAGAAAAAAAGATGCTAGATGGCCTTCTATAGTGATGGAATCCACAGGGGTCTGCCTGGCATCCCCTTAAACCGTTTTTTTAGGTCTCAGAGCAGGAGCTGTAAGTCACAAGCAACTACTTAACAAATGGATGTTATATTTAATACTTTCATTTCAGAGGTGAATGAATTTCAGAGTTCCCAGTTGCCATATACTAATTTATCTGCCTTGCTGTAGCTGCTACAGCAGCAGCTGAGATTTTTTTCTTAGTGCCTCATGGATCCCTGCCCAACTCAAATACCAGGATGAAATATTCAAGAATTGGTTTAGGTCCTGTTGGTTACTCCATTGCAGGTGTCCCCTGCAAGGGGAAAAGGTCTAGTGTTTTGTTTTGGTTTGTTTTTTAAAGTCAGAGGTATTCAACTTGGAAAAGAAAGCAGTTTAAAAAATCAAGGAGTTACAAAAGGCTTATAGTGCTGACCTTAAGGATGACCTGCAAAGGGAAAAAAAAGTTTTCTTCTGTATCTTGCTGCTGCTTTAACGTATAAAGAGCATGTATTTTAAGGAGGGCTCATTTTAGGTGGCATTTAAAACCTAGAAAAATCTCAACTGTCTTCAAGATGGGAAAAGCAGATGTTGGTCTTTTGTCATAGGTCTGTACTGAACTGGAGCCCAAATCTAGGCTGCTGTAAATCATTAATAGCAAAACTTTGTGTGAAAAACCAACTGAATAAGTGCTTTGGTTTGGAACTGCTTAAAAAAACTGCCCAACACCAGACAAATAACTGGAAAAAAATATTTCTTTGTTGAAGACAGTGAATGGATTTTTTTGATGGGTCCAACCTCCTGCATCCTAGAAATTACTGAGTAGTCCTAGCATCACAGTAACTGGTATTAATTAAAGTCAGAGGCAGAGAAAGGGCACATGAAACAGTTGCACTTGCAGCAGGCCGTGGGGACTGTGGTTGTATATCCCATCCTAAACCCCATCAGCTCGGACTCGTACCCAAAACTGGTTTGTGTGCCTGTATGGAGATCAGGGCTGTCCTGTGATGGCCTCAGTGGCACCAACTGAATTGCCACCTGGGCAATTGGGTTCCCTGCCCTTCCTCCCCTTTGCCCTAACAGGATCAGGGATCAGTTGCTGAGATGACTTCTGTGTATTTCCAGTGCCAGTGCCAAGCCATGTGGGGTGGGTGAGTCTGCCCATAAGGCTGCAGTGGGGGAGCAGCAGCTTCTCTTTTGGCCAGAAGCTGCTCCCAGCACTTGGTATCTTGGGTCCCAACGTGCTGTACTAGGATGCAATATGGCTGACGCTATCCCTGCTCCATCCAAGGTTTGTTTGCTTATCTGCCTATCTGACCCTGTCAAACTGCATGGGCAATTTAGGATTGGCAGCATTTTATACCAAAAGGGAGAGATTGCAATGTGAGCAATTAGCAGATTGGGTAATAGACTGACTCATATCTAAAAAGGAGAAGAGAGCTCAGGCCATGGAGGCAGGCAACTAGGGAAGAGTGTCTTAGCAGAATACATCTTTAGGGCTTTGACCATAACACCTCTGCTAAAAAAAAATAAAATATTAAAGACCTTCATCTAAAGTAACAAGACTGGTAGCAGCCAGGAACACAGTATTTCTCCAGAAGATGCCCTTTTAAACTCAATGAATATGTTGCAGGGGAATTTGGAGGAAATTAGAGTTGTGCAACTCTGAAGTCTTATACATGTGCTGAGAAAGCTGCCTTCCACCTGTTTTCCAGCCCTGCAAAAAATTCCTCCAGCAAAACTAGGCGAAGCAAAGTTATGATATTCCTGAAATGTCTGATGTATATATTTCTGCATGAAAGTAAAAAAGCAGTTTAAAACAAAACAAATGAAAAACGAAAACAAAACCCAAAGCAAGCAAACAAACAGAAAACCCCACTTCATCAGGATACCAAAAGCATGATTCTATCCTTCCTCTTACTGAAGAAAGAGGGATCTCTTTACATACTGTTGTATCTCACAGTACCCAAGTAAAACCGCAAAAATAAAGCCAATACAGCAATTCATCTAATATTTCTTGTGTAATCTTGGGCAAGTCACAGTCTAGCATTTCCTCATTTTCTCCTAAAATAAAAGAAGCAGAGGGAGTAATTTTCCTAACTTTCATCATTTCTGTGTATAGTGTGATGGAAACTGCAGCAAATTTGGAGCCTTACTGTGGGAAGCAGGAAAGGGGGAAATCCAAATTGGGAGCCTAGCCCTCCCCTGCCAACGAGTAAGCAGGTCAGTTCTTGCATTCTGCCGTTGCCATCCCTGATGCAGAAAGGAGGGACTTGTAAAGATATAGCAGGGAAAACAAAGATCCTGGCTGTATCTGAGCACCTAGAGATGTCCTCCAGGATAATGTAACCATCCCACAAGAGCTGGGAAACTTGGTTTAACTGAAATGTTTTCTGCATGTTTACTCCTCCTGGACTTCTCTTTCCTACCCCAGTTTACGGTATCCTTCTCTTTCAGCTGCCAGAGCTGCCTGAGCTCCTGTAGAGCTAACATTTAATGACAACTGCAGAAGCCCCTAAAGTGAATATACTGTTTTACAACTGACACCCATGTTTATTTCATGATCAATATCAGTACCAAGACACACATCTTTATTTCTCTGGGACAGCACAGTTTAGTCAAGATGAAGTCACTACATCTGGATAGGCTGAGGCTCTCTGGTGTTTTGCAAAGGAGAGGTAAAGTAAACAGTGAGAAACAAAGACACCATGAAAACATTTTCCTTCTCTACTGCTAAGGCCATATTACAAAATAATTTTTCTTTACCCATGTCTCAGCTACATTTCTTCACCCTTATTCTGCCAGCTTTCAGCTAGAAAGCAGTCTCAGTTTACTTATATGTAAGGACTCCTATTCTTTATCACCTCATACCACAAGAGAAAATGTTTACAGGTAACCTAGAATGAGTCAGAAATTACAGAAGAAAGTATTTGGATACAGGTTCCTTCATTTCCTAAAAAAATAGACACACTAAGAAAAACATATATACACACCAGCCATAGTTAAGATTACCCCTCCTGGGGAGAAATCTGAAGTAGTCTAGGTAAGGGATGGGCTTGGTCAAGGACTCACCAGGACAAGCTTGAGAAAACCTGAGTTTAGTCTCCAGTTCCACCCATCACATACTCTACAGAAACCGCTTGGTTTCTCCTCCAGCATCAGGTGCTCACATTTGTCCTGTTCAGGGTGTTTTTTCACTCTTCCTTCTTCTGCCTTGCCCATTCAGAACATCCTTCTCAGCACAAGCTAGCCCCAATAGTGGCCTGAGGCTGCATAGGGCTTTTAGGTGTTGCTTTGAAAAGGGTGATTTCCTAGGTACCAAATAATACTTAATGTTTAAAACTAAATCACTGTACTGCACTCATCAAGCTGCCTGGAATGGTGGAAAAGTCACTTTCTTATCCATAAAGAAGATGACAGTAAGAAAAATAATACATTTGTTTGTATCATTCAGTTTCCCTGGCATTGCATAAGGATAATAGCCTAATTTGTTCAAACTAATTATTCCTCAAAATATCTCAGCAACCCGACTTTGTCTGTGTGGCAGTTTTCCTCTCCTTCCTTCTCCTCCTTCACCAGATGAACTCTTAACATGAATTGAACAGTTAAACCAGCACAATCCGCCATGCAGACAGTAAAAGGAGCAACTTTTTCAGTTTAGATTAAAATCAGTGATCTTTCAGCCCACAGCTTGTAAGGTACTTCTAAGACACTCCTAAATAAAACAATGAAAAGGAAGCCAAATTTTGGTGCATTTAAATTTTCTATACAATACTCTTTATGCTTATTGGGAGGCTTTAAGGACTGAAAAGACTTGAAAATCTTAGGATGCTCAGTGAAAGGTTGTGGTTAAATGTCAAAGAAAGCTACTCTTTTCAGAGCAAAAGAGCGCGGGTGCATTATAGGTATAACTGGAGAACATTATGCACATTATTATATTACATTACATTATATTACACATAAGCTGGAGAACTTTCCTCTGCTTTCCTGCATAGACAGGGCTGCAGTGCCACACCTGAAATTGCAACCCCAGCATTTTTAATGCAGTGACCCCAGCGAGGCTGGTTATGGCAGTCACAAATAGAACTGGGATCTCACAAAAAAAATGGTTTTATCAAATGGTTATGGCATATTTTAAGGGATGACAGTGCTGCAAGTAATCTAGGTGGGACCACAGAAAGAAAAAGACAGAGAATGGCAATCTTT